ATTGGAAATATGACTTTAACTGTGGCTGGGTTAAAACAAAGCCAACGTTATGAGAACATGGAAGCATTGGGACAAGTTGTTCCACAGTTAGGGGAATGTGAGGATGAACCCACTGTCTGGGCATTAGCACTTTTTAAAAAGTCTGATCTCTAAATAGTATTTGATAAAAATGTGACTTAATAAACTATTCATTTCGATCCCCATGCCAACTACATTCCTGCAGCCAAGGCCCTCAGTATTTTATTGAAATGCATGGAGACTTCTAAGACTTGTTTATTCCTTTAAAAAACTATTCATTGGTTCTGACCTGATTCCATTCTTGATACAGATGAACTCACAAGCTTCTTAGCTTCCACAATGAAAACTACCGTATGTAATAAAGACTGTTCAATGCATAAGCACTGTAATTAACTTTGAGATAATAGTTTTAATGATTAAATAAGGGTCAGTTCAACACTGCTACCTAAGTTCTACAGCTAACTGTGATGATTGTTGGTCACTTGCATATCTATTTAGCCAAAACATTCTAGTTTGTAAAAGATTTAGTTATAAGCATACGTTTTCAGAGAGTAGTTTTAATGCAATAAACCTTTCCACCCTCTGTCAGCAATCAAGAAGCAAATTATTTCTGTGTTCTGTATTTTCTTGCACAGGTAATTATAATAGAAAATAAGGAACAGACACAGGTTAAATACCAGTCTAATTGTTCTGTGCATAGTACATGTGTTGGGAAACAAATACAGTGTAAGATTTTCTTTTTACTGTGTTATTATGTAGACATATTTCAGTGTCTTGCTACAGTTGGCAGATTTTAAGTTCGAAATGAAGTACAACTCTGTGATAATTATAAAGTTACCTCATTTTATTAGATATCTCTTATATATGTAATGTAAATTGTATAAATTTACTTATATGTGAGGGTGTAGGTCTATATATATGTTGTACATAGTATGTTTAAACGTGTGTTATGTATGTGTACACTTTGAAAGCAAGCAACAAAATTTCATTTTTAATGTGTGCCATTGTACCCATGGTAAAAATGACAATAAAGGTTGTCTGTCTGCCTGCCTGCCTGTCTGTCTGTCTATCTACATTTCACCAGTATATTTTCTTTTCTCAACCAGTATATTTTCTTTTCTCTCCTTGTATCTGTGTAAATGGCGTTTTATTTATTGTATGGGTAGCCTTCGATATACAACAGTTCATTTAGTGACCATTCAAACTTACAATGGCACTGAAAAAAGGGACTTATAACCGTTTTCACACTTACGACTGTTGCAGCCTCCCCATGGTCACGTGACCAAAATTTAGACGCTTGGCAACTGACTCACATTTATTTTGCAGTCTCCTGAGCACATGTGATCCCCTTTTACGACCTTCTGACAAGCAAAGTCAACAGAGAAGCCAGATTCACTTAACAGGGTTACTAACTTAACAACTGCTATGATTCACTTGACAACTGTGGCAAGAAAAGTAATAAAATAGGGCAAAACTCACCTAGCAACATAAATTTTGGGCTCAATTGTGATCGCAAGTCGAGGACTGCCTGTACTTTATAATGTCTAAAATAAAATATAAAACTGTTTCCTTAATATTTCATTTTGGGGTAATTTCACAAACTCTCTTTTCCTTCTCTTACTCTTTTGCTTTCTTAAGATATTTAGAATTAATATTCTGGTCCATGTGCCAAAAATGGGCCAGCTAACCAACTTACTTCTATTTTATAAATTAAATGTTCTATAAGCATGTTGTGTAAACTACATGCTTGTTGCTTTTAGGTATATGTAAAATAAACACATTAATCTGTGTGAATGTCAATACTTAGTTTTTCCCTACATATAGGAATGTAGGCATACTCAGTGAACTAATTCTATTTTCCATTGAGACTCTTGTGAGTTAATAATCTGGTTAATTTAGCTAGGCTAGAAGGTTTTCATTAAACATATTCATTTACAATTTGTGGTGGCTTCAGCATAAATCTGGAGATCAGGTATAGTATCATTATTGTGTGGGACTTTTTAGGAATAGAAGAAAACTTAACATTACTGAATATATAAATCCTTTTAGTAAAGATGTCATGAAGTAACAACTAAAACAATTAAACCATTATTTAGTAGAAGTATGACTACATACCTCACTGCAATCTATAGTGCTCATTTACAAATTGCATCCTATAAAATAACTAAATATCTTTTGTTTAACAGGTATGATTTACATGTTAGTTGGGTTTACAACTTCCTCTCTGGGAATTCTAGTAGTTTGGAGGGTGTTTAGGTGCTCAGATTGGGATATGATGTATTGCTTTGGCCAACATAGTCTTTAACCTAGGTTTCTCTTTCCAGGAACCCCTTCAATGGGTTCAACTGCTGTTCCCATAATTCTCAGTCAGTATGGGGCTGATAGGGATATGTAAGAGTGGGAAGTATCTGGTGCAAATTCCTAGTATAATTATTTAAAAGATTCATAAAAAAACCACAGGAGATGTTAAACTCTAAAATGTTTCAGAAAATGAATGAAACCTGGCAATTGTTTTGCTCTTAAAAGTAGTTGCATTACTCTTGAGGGCTGATTTTCCCCACTATGAGGTTACACTTTGAAAGACTATGTCAATCAGTGGACTAACTAGAAAATATTACTGTAAGATATTAATGCATCCTTTAACCATGAATTGTGTTGAGTATATGTTCTCTATATAATTATACTGTTCAGATGTGTACTATATGCTTCATTAAACTTTGTAGTATTTCAGTTTGCTTAAAGGAAACAAAGTCAATAAACATAAGGTAAATAAATATACTGATGCTGATGACACTTATTGAGCAGCATAAAAGTGCATTACATAAATAATAAAGCTTACTTATTTTCAATCCACACTTGAAAAGTGCCTGTGCTTTAAAAAAAAGTGTTCACCATTTGTTGTGAACATCAGTGCAGAAGTTTATTGGGGTATGTGCTTCTGCATAGCACTGCTCAGTGTGGTTTAGCAATATGGTGATATACAGTAGTGGCCAAAATTGTGGAAACCTTTTGCGAAAAGTGTACAATAGAAATGCTACCTTTGGTTAAGTTTCCACCAATTTTTCTTTTAATTTCTTTATAACTGTAGCCTTGTTCACTTAATAATACTATTTTACATTGCTTTCTGGGCGACCAGTCAACTCTCTGCACCATTACTTTAATTTTATTACGTTTTACAAGCTCACTAAATGAAAGAGAAAAAAAACCCCAACCAACTTGATAGCGATCACATAACACACTGACAAATGTCCTCCTCTCAGTTTCAATACATGACATCAATAACTGAATCCTACTGTGATCTGATTGGCTCATTGCCAAAACAAGATGACACCTGATTGGCTCTCTAAACACTCATGCTCATTGGCTACAATCAGATGAAGGAAAGCTACCTGATATCAACCTAAGCAAGTTGTGCTTCCTTTTTCTAGTTATTTGGCTATAATAACTTTTCATACAATACAGTACAGATAATTGAACAAACTTTGTTGCATTACATTCTCAAAAATACATTTTTGCCAAAAGGTTTCCACAATTTTGGCCACTACTATATAATGACATGGAAACCTACAAATCTGTTTGATGGGGATCATAATTCCAATTTTTTTTATATAACTTCAAATGATTTCTGATTTGCTCAAATTTTAAGGCTATTAAATATATATATACTTTAGCTGTATAGGAGATTCTACAAGTGATTCCATATATACGTATACATATACATACATACATACATATATATACATACATATATATAAAGATTTCTTCCTCCCATATTTGGGCCAACAGGGTGCATAAAAAAACACTCAAGACATATATATATATATATTCCCTAATTGTACTAAAAATGGGAATCCTGGGTAAATCCATATAATAGAAATGAAATAGTCCAAGCGAAAGCAACCTGCGTATGCTAGCAGAAAGAAAGTGATCGAGCCCAAGAAAAGGAAAATAGCAACTTCAGAAGATACCAACACAGTAAGAGACCTTTAAGAACAAACCAAGTAGAGAAAACGGACTGACAGATAACTAGCGAGAAGCCGGGAGCAGAGCTGTCCGGCAGTATAAAAAGGACTCTCAGTAATCTTGTATTATGCTCTGATGATGTCAGCAGTGTTGGCTGACGAAAGCTTAGCTTTAGCTTTTGTATTAAACAGTTTTTGTTTTAACATTATCCTGGTGCTCGGACTATTTCATTTCTAAAGACAGCTTATTCATGTAATACACCATGGATATGCTATAACTTTTTTTAACAAAAAGTTTCTATAGTTAAAGACAATAGCTCATAATTCTGAGCTGGGAAAAAGTGTTCTTCATGAGGAAATTTGTAACTTTAACTTTACTCTGAGTAAGTGCAATTGATTTCACTAGTATTTGCTGAAATGTAATTAACCCAAGAGTGACTGACTCCTGTCATTGGAAGTCAGATGTCATAAGATTTAATAATAATATGCTTCAAGAGAATAATTTTAAGTATGGAGACGTTTCACTGAAGAAAGATTTATTTTAATCTAAACGCGCACATAACTGCACTATTCTAAATTCAGATTCCTCGAGCTGGGACTGTTATGTAACAAATTATTCAGCGAGTCAATGAAACTAAAAACCCCGCGAACTGGATGGGTTCAAAAATACCAGCGATCTAACGATGATTTCTCATGTTATCTTTCTTCTATGAAGATCCTACAGAAGAAGAGACGGTGATTCTTAGTAGAACTCAAGGAATAATTTCAGAATATTTACTATGTAGCCGGATTGCAGATTGTATTTCAGGAATCACGAACTTTGCGCTCCGCTTTACGGTGAGCCTGGAGGACCACGCCTACGACGGTTTGGAACTCAGAGCTCGACACTTAGGAACCGTACTAACTACTCGTCTTTCCTCCAGAGATTACTGTGCTTCCAGGCAATACCGTAAGGTAAAGAAACGGTGTAAAAAGTGTAACTTCCCTGATTTCCCTGCCTGTCATTTTGCGACACTTAAGATGGCTGCCTCCATGAGATTAGCGTGTGCCGCTTCGGTACCGGGAAGTCTACTTAGAGCAGAGTTTCCACCCCGCCCCCCGATTTTAAGGAGTTTATAAAGCGGTAGTAGTGCTAATTCTCCTCTCTGGTAGGACGAAGAAGATTCCCAAGAAGGAGCGGAGCAGAAGCGTAAGGCGCGCATAAATACGAGCGGAGAGAAGCAAAACTATTAAGAGGTTGGAGGACCGGAGTAAGACTTGATACTGATGATCAGACCTGTAGCGGGTCCGGCTTGTTTGTTGTACAGATACAATTTGGGGACAGACAAGTAGCAGCAAGAGCCACGTGGGTGACTTTGGCTTTCGAGAAGTAATGATGCGCCCCGTGTTGCTGTCACCTTGTGTTAAAAGTTGCTCCCGGATACTTGCCCAGTTCTGGGCTGAAGGAGGTGGAAAGCCCAGGCAGCGGCGATGCCTCTTCTCCAGTTCTCCGTCGCTTTCTTCGGCTTCCTACTGGAGCAAAGTGGTTTCGGAGGCCGAGAAAATTGTGGGCTACCCGACCTCTTTCATGAGCCTTCGGTGCCTCTTGAGCGACGAGCTGAGCAACATCGCTATGCAGATGCGCAAATTGGTGGGAACCAACCACCCCTTGCTTAACACGGCCAGGTAAGCGTTCAACTGGTCTTTGTTGGCCAATATATCTCTAGTAAGCTTTTGAAGGAGTTCTTATTACATCCAAATGCTCATATTCCCCTCCTCCGACTTCTATTAACATTCTAACTATTAACACTGCCTGCCATAATTAGAACTCTTATGCTGTCTCAAACTCCTTGTATTTCTTTCACTGAATATATAATACTTCCTTATTTAGAGTCTGATTATTGGTCTACCTGTGTTGACTGACTGGCTGTCTGAAGTCGTTTTAAATTAGAGTTGCATGAAATAAACTCTAGAGCAGATAGGTGTGATAATAGTGTTACTGCATCATAAAGGAATGTATCAAAAGTACCTTTAATGTACAATACAAAGAATCGGTAAAAATATAGGAACTAAGTGCAGTGATTTCAAAAAAACGGAGAAAAATACTATTTCATTCTCTAGCTTACATAGGTAAAATCATTTTATAAGGCTTTTTTGAAATTATTAGTGTACCAAATATATTTTGACTTTTTATAGGCTTCAGTGGCATTTCTACACACTTGGATTAATTTCTCAGGAAGAACCATGAAACATAATATCGAGACTACTAGTACATTCTAAGGCAGTGGCCCCCAATCTTTTGGGCACCAGGGACCGGTTCCTTGGAGAGAGGTTTTTCCATGGACCGGAGGGGGCATTTCATGTGCTGCCTGCATCCCGTAGATGGGTTTTCGCTTGTTTGCGCGGACCGGTTTTTGGCATGCCAAAACCGGTGCTGGTCCATGGACTGGGGGTTGGGGACCCCTGTTCTAAGGAATTTGATTTAAAGATATATCACTGAAAAGTAAAAATATTCGGTGATGCTCAGTAATTTGTTAATATAACCATTTTGGAAAAATGTTTTATTTGATTCAGTATAATTGATTAAAAGCAGTGGTGGGATTCAAATTTGTGAACAACTGGTTCTCTGTGTGGATGCCGCTTCCAGAAGTCCATTCTGGGCCTGGGCAACAAAAAATTAGCTACCGGTTCTGCCGAACTGGTGCGAACTGGCTGAATCCCACCACTGATTAAAAGATGGCTGATGACCCAATGAATTTTTCTATTCCTTAGCATATATTTCCTTTTGTCAGTTAAAATGGGTAGGTATGTAAGCACCACAGAATTCACTGCTGGTCGTTTCTTTTTTTCCATTGTAATATCTTATGTGGAGTATAGAGTTCTCAGACAAGTAATGACCAAAGGTTAGCCATAGAGATATTTTCAGGATCTAATAAAGTAAAGCAAAATAGTTGATAAAATTAAGAGAATATAAGCAGTTATAGGAGGGTACTAATTGTAAAGTGATTGCTCCTCCCCCAATGGATATTAATGAATGTATTAGTATTTTATATTCTGACTCATTGTATTTTCTTCATTGGTTTACAGTTTTCCCATGTTCTTTAGCAGGAGATGTTGAATGTGCTAGTATGGTTTACATATCTCTACCTCTTAACTGTGGAATATTACAATTCAGTCATTAATAGATTAGGAATCTTAAAATTCTTACTAAAATAACTAGCTTTCATTTTATAAAGACTATTATTGAGGCCTTACACTTTCTTTAGAATGCTAAGTTGTATAAGGTAATTAGTATGAATCGCCTTCAGTTCTTTAAATGTTTCCTCTAAATATCTGTATACTATTATAATCAGACCAGAGCAGAACTGTTATTAATTTTCTATCTTTAAAGGTTAACTCCAATTTTTCTATGGTGAAGGGTGGCTGTGCTAAATTATTTGTAATGTATTTTGATACATATATTTAATCTTACTGTGGAATTTTAACCCTCTTACCTTGTTTTTGTTTGCTATTATTATTGTAAATGGCCAATAATCTGGTGATTGTAGCAGGTATAAATACTGTCAATTAGCAGGAGGTGTGACAAAAGTAGAATTGCCAGGTCTGTTTCCAAAAAATAGCGGACAAGCGGGGGGGGTGTTAAGTAGTAAAAAAAGTAGACTGTACAGCTTTAGATTACGTACCATTTCATCATAAAGCTTTTGAATAAAAAAAATGTCCACTATTTTGTGAAAAAAAATAGTGAACATAATGTGAAAAAAGTGGACTGTCCACTCAAATAGTGGACACCTGGCAACCCTAGAAAAGTGCCAATATTGGACTCACTAATTTTGATGAACTACTTGTTGGAACCTTGTTGGAAGAAATAATAATGTATAGGAATACTTCTGGGACTCAAATGTAGCCTGGCCAACTAGAATTAGGTAGGTATGCATGGACATACAATTTTTGGTTTAGAATATAAAAAAATAAACCTGTAGTTATTATATATATGAATCACTGGATGAAAAGAATAGGAAGCCTAGGAGATGCTTTCTGAATATAGCACTGTTTGTATCTTTCCAGGTAGCGTCTCCTGATCTTTTTGTTGCTTAGCAAAAGTATGTCTCACTGTGGGTGGCTCTTATACACTTGTTTCAGATTTCTGTGTGGGATTTCAGCAGAGTTCTATATAGGTGCTCTACAGTATTGGTCCTCTTTCATTCTCTCTCTATGACTGTATTCTAAAACAGCAAATATGGGTAGCAGAAGATTTGTAACTCAGCCTACCAGGACACTTTGAATGGATTGTACTGGGTTTGTTTATGGGTTTGTTATGTGTTATTCACCAAAGAATTTGGCAGCTACTATATCAATATAGTAAAAAAGATGCTGAGACTCTAGAAAGAGTACAGAGAAGAGCAACAAAGATGATTAGGGGACTGGAGGCTAAAACATATAAGGAACGGTTGCTGGAATTGGGTATGTCTAGTTTAATGAAGAGAAGGACGAGGGGGGACATGATAGCAGTGTTCCAATATCTCAGGGGCTGCCACAAAGAAGAGGGAGTCAAGCTATT